AAAACCCTAAATAATTCGGTTAAAACAATATCAACCCATTTGCAGCCCATAACATTATCTAGGTATATGGGCTAAACTGCAAAAAGCAATTCGGCCCATATAGCATTTATGCCGATTTGGGCTAATGTAGTTTCAACTTAATAAAACTGGGTTTTACAGGGGTGGGCCGAATTAGATCTTGTAATGGGCCATCAAACCCTTGGCCCATAATCAAAATTTAGGGCTGAGAACATACCCTATTGAACCACAAATTTGGTCCAACCAGTTTGGTCCAAACTAGGTCAAATCGGCCTAGGGTTTGGTGTCTATTGCAAGATCCAATTCAAGTAAATGATTTGAAAATTAATTAAAGATAATAAAAGACAATCAAGAATCAGCAAAACAAGAATCAGAGGGCTGTTCGTGTGGCTGCAATCTTGCAAGAAAAAAAGTTAGTTTGCAGATCGCAGGTTCCATATCTGCAAATCGCAGATGACTGAATTTGGTTATGCAAAATCTTCTCCTTTTGCGCACTTCCTACAATTCTTCCAATGAAAAAAATAGAAAAACCTAATTTTCTATTAATTACATCAGAATAAATCCTATACATTTCAGCAGGGTGCGTAGTTCTTGGCGTCAATAAAGATTTCGTTCTCCACCATATGAACAACCCAAAAATTGAGAAATAAAAATAGAACAATTCTATAATTATTGCAGATAAATAAAAAATTAATTTTCAGACCATACGCCAAAAAACTGGGAACCAATTCACAGAAAAACAGCAATCTACGTAAATCGGGTAGAACCAATTCTACCCATTTGTGCAGGTTCAAATCAGGTCTGATTTGGTTCAAGAATTAAACCATGCCTCTGATACCACTGAAGGAAAGGGAGATCCATCATATGGATGGCCGAACTTTGCAGGGAGGTGGAGATTGAATTGAGTAGGGCGGCAAGAGCATAGGGAGAAAAAGATTGCAGAAAGAATTTCTTCTTTAAGAAGAATTTGCCCTCCTATTTATAACCTTTTTGGATCAGATTCCTAATCCAATTAGGAAAGAGTTCCTTGATCCAAATCTTTATTTGGATGTGGACTCTTAAATGGATAAGACTCATCTTATCTTTTAGCTAATCCTAATCAGATTATAAACCAGAATTCGCCCATTTACTTAAATCACTTAAGCCCAACTCGAAATGGGATTTAGGCCCATTTAGTTACATAGCTCACTTTCCCTTTAAGTGCTGGCTAGTTTGGTTTTCTTTGTATGGCGTGGGACCCTAGATAGTGAACCCCTGAGTCCACCAATATGGGCTCTTAGTAGGCCCAACATTTACACTAAATGGTTCCCTAGGTCCAACCACCTTATGAAGGCCCAAGGACTATGGACTTATGTGAGATTAGCCTATCAAGTTTATTATCCCTAAATGGTTTACACTTAACCTCTCAGCCCATAATGTTCATATTCTGCCCAACAAGAGAGGACCTCTCCCTCAGCTGCAAGGTATAGTGTTGCACTCTCTACTCACATGGATCCCGGGAATTAAACCTTTTGCAAACATTTTGTGAAACCATAATATATATGTATATCTCTATATAAATATATTTTGCAAAGAAAATCTCAACAATTTGAAATCAACTATGAAAAGTTTAGGTTTCCATTAGAGAGAGTTCATTCCCCAATCATTCACTTTATCCAACAAAGGGGTCGATTCTGTCACTATGATCACCCACTCAGATGAATTCTCAAACTGCCCTAACATACACAGGTTTTGACTCCCTCTAAGGATCTTACTGACTGGCATATCAAACTTAGCCCAATCCGACACCTAGTGCAGTACCATAATCGAGTCTAGGGGGTCATGTGTAACTTTCTAGTTGTGCCCATCTATCTCCAAGGTCCAGGGCATAACTGGAAAATGGTATGGTTTTAAAGTTTCAAGCAAACCCACATTGCATGTGCTTAAGGTCTCACCCTGGCAGCTGAGACAAGCCACCCCAACCCACTTGGCAACACATTAGTGTCAGCCTTGGTAGGATAAATCTCCCCAAATTTATCCAACGGCTGTGAAGATTCTAAACTAACACGAGTCTCATAAGTGTCCAATTTAAGGGTATTACACAGAAGCACACCAATATAACATGAATCAAATATGTACTTTTATTCAGTTACAATAAATGTCATAATGTACATTAAGCTGATTGGAGCTAAGGGCATACACTGTCTAATAATTAGATTGAGTCGCTCCTAGTATTGCCAGGATAGTCTATTGCACATAAGAAAGTCCAAATGCCAAGATGCTTTATCGTGTCCAATAAGATTGACGTCTTCCTAGGTGTTCCATGGTGATTATACATATTCGAAGAGAAATTATTGGGTTCTGTCATCGTCCCTTGTATCTGACATGCTCTCCCTGGGGTTGCCAGGCTAAATCATTGCAATTTGGAATGTTACCCGCTTTGTATGTAAGAGCACACTTGGGTTGCCACTACCTTCCTGGGGTTGCCAGGGTAACTCATCACAATTTGGAATGTTACCTGCAAAGCTTTGCCATCACTCTTGGGGTTACCAAGGCCTTCCTAGGGCTGCTAGGGTATGTAAGAGCGTACCTGGGGTTGCTAGGGCCATTGCATGGAGCATGTGGCATCCTGGCCAAACCAGGGTATGTGTAATCCAGTTTGGGGTTGCCAAACCTCCCCCGGGGTTGTTGGGTCTTTGCATGGAGCTTGCAACATACATGAGACGGGCATAGCCAAAAATAAGGGTGGCCACGAGTCGAGCTTCTCACGAGCTATTCGAGCTCGGGTGGCTTGATTTAAACCGAGTTTCGAGCTGAGCTCAAGCTTGATATATAGGCTTGTTTTCTAATCGAGCCAAGCTTGAGCCCAATACTGAAGCTCAGCTCGTGAGGCTCACGAGCCTAGTTTAATAAATAAATATTTTTTTATTATATACATACATACATAATTTTTATTTTATATATAATATTTTTATTTTTTGTATAATAGTAAATAATTTTTTGTATGTAAAATAAAAACATTTTTATATGTATATTTTTAATTTTTTATATGTATAATAATAAATATTTTTTGTAATTCTTAATTTTTTGTATGTAAAATAAAAAAAAATATTTTTATATGTATATTTTTATTTTTTTAGAAAAAACTTGGCTTGCAATCGAGCTTGAGTCGAGCCGAGCTCGAACCTGTGAGCTTTGAACCAAGTTGAGCTCGAGCTCAAGTTTCTAGCTCAAATGAGCTTGAGCCTAACATAGTTTCAGCAAACCGAACTCAAATAGCCAAGTATTCAGCTCGGCTCAACTCGAACCCACCCCTAGCCAAAAAAACTTGGCAACAAAAACAGTAGCATGCTGAATGCTTTTAGTTTACTGTAACATGTAGTTTTGAACAACCTCTTAGAGGGTTGTTTTGTCTTTTGATTTTGTTAACTGGTCAATAAATAGGGTGACTCACACCCAAGGTCAGACAGTGGGTCTTTTTGTTTTGACTACCTGGAGTGACTTTAATTTGATAATTAATAATTTACAAGAAAATGACCAGCCCAATTAGAACTAGTAATGCTTTGTAAAAACCAACTTGGTTCCGGGAAAAGGACTATCAGATCCCTGGATACAGACCCTTCCTTACGTTTTACCCAAAAGAAGTTCACCGGATCAGATTCCTCCAAATATAGGAACACAAAAACCCTCCACACATCCCGTCCTTAGCACGGATTACTCCGCCTGTCAATGTTTATCACAGCAAGTTTGAATCCTAAAGTTCCAATATTTCATTCACCTCCCATATTTATATGCCTATATTTACATATGATCAAATGATTCATTATAACGACTCGCAATGTGTATCCTAATATGCTCACGTTCATTCTTAGGTTTTGTAGATCACAGTCTACTATCATATTGGCTACGCACACTACACCCGTGGGGCTAACACCACATAATAACTTAACCCCAACACTGAGGCTAATTTGCTTGTAAAATTTTTCAGAATTTTGGGAGCTAATTGTTTGTAAAATTCTTTGGAATTTTGGAAGCTAATGGCTATTGAATGGCAAGAATGCTAGGCTACTCATATATTCACAAGCATTATTAATTTGTAATCGAATTCAAGTTTGTAAAGTGTAAGTACCTAATTCATAATTGTGATCAAGCGCCTCGCATCCTAAAGTTTTAAATTAACAAACCGCATAACACGGTTGGCAAAATTGTGCTCTACTTTCTTTGCAAGTAACCCACCTCTTGGAAGGACTGAACCTAATTAAACATGGCCGTACCTGTTACAATTGCTAGCTGAAATTTAAGAAATTTTCAACCCAACCCAATAACAAGTTTCTTAGTATTTTGAAATCTGAATTTTCGGATATATATTGCATCAAATTTGAACAAATTTGAAACTGGATTTTAGTGCTGAACATACATGATACGAAGTTCATAAAATGTAACTCTCAGAGTGATAATACTGATGGCACAGCCGTATGAGCAAAATTGATTCAACAACCCTCATTATGTAATTTGAACTCTTTTAACACTTTAGGATTTGATGCAGTAATGTGAATCTGATTTTCTCAAATAATTTTATTCAAAATTACAGCAGAAAACTGATGGGAATCATCCTTCACTATGAATGGTTTGAACTAGAATTTTTGAAAGGGAGAAGAGAAAGAGAGCAAGAGATAATCTCTCTATTCCCTTATATAGAGCTCTATATCCTATTGGATTAGGTAAAACCCAAATCAAATTTGGGGACTCCAAAGAACAAAATTATCTAATTGAGTATATCTGTATATGCAGAATGTAGATGAAAGTGGTGCAATAGATGTAAAGGATAAGGCGATCTATGTACAAGGTTCACCAAAATAAATTCCACATCTGTGAATATATTTACCATTGTGAATTCATACGAAGTTCATGACAAGGAGAGAACATAAAAAATCAGACTCAAACATGAATAAATTACCATTGTGAATTCATACAAAGTTCAAAATAAGCAGAAAACATCAAAGTCAGAGTCAATAAACCATGAAATCCACTTCCATTGATTATTTAACACTGAGAATTCATACAAAACAAGTCGAAAAGCTAACTTACATTAGTGAAAAATTTAATCATGTCCAGATTACATTAAAATGTATCATACCAAAGGTTTCAGCTCACTTGGACCTTTCTTTTTCTTTTTTTTTTTCTTTTTGTTTTTTAGCTCACTCAGACATTTCAAGTAAAAAAATTAAATGCATGTTCAGCACAGTACCATCACCACCCTTTTTTGGTAATCATGCTCCAGCATTTGGCTGACAAAGCCTACTCACACAGAAAACACAACCTTCAGGCTTGAGTCAAAAAGTAGCTTTTGGCCTTAATGTTCCTTGTCCTTTCTTTTTCTTCTTGTTATTCTATTATCAGCCCGGTTCATCCAAGTGTTTGTCCAAGTCGCATCTGTTTGGTACTTCACTGCTGCCAACCATACTGTTGATTGCGATTACCACCCATCATGTTTGAGCCTCGACCAACACCAGAACCTCCATATGGACCACCTTGGGGATAATTTGGAGCACCAACTCCATAACCGCTACTGCCTCCTCGGGGTCCTGCACCCGGCATGGCACTGGCAGCGTATGGAGGACCACGTCCTTGAGGCGGATATGGGCCACCACTGTAACCTCCACCTTGGCCTCCACGATTTGGGTGATTGTACCCCCCACTAGGATTTCCACTCTGGGGATATCTACTTGGTCCTCCTGAAGGACCACGAGGCTTTCCATAGTGGTGGCTAGGTCCTGTTACAGCTGTAGGCTGGGAGCTATGCATGGGTTGGTTAGGTCCTGGTCTGAGTTGAGGATGAGTTTGCCCAGTTTGTTGAATGGGAGGTAAACGTGCATGTGGCTGGGGGTGCTGTAGTTTCTGCCGTTTAGCCGTTTCTTCATGTTGGCGCTGCTGTTGACGCTTTTTCTTTGTCTGGAACTCATGTGACGATTCATATTTGGGCAGGCTGAAATGAAAAAGGAAATACCATTAAACCAGAACAAAGCGAGGGTCAACTAAGATTTGGGAAGAATATAACTAACTACACATGCTATGGAAAACAAACCTCTTGGGATCACAAGGCAATGGGTCAGTCCAGAAATACTCTGCATCAAGTGCATCCTTGGCAGATATTCTCTATTTATATAAAAGAATGAACAGAAAAATTAGTGAAACATTTATTATTACCACAAAATAGTAAGGAAACAACTTCCATAAATAATATGGAGAATATTGAAAAGCAAATGGAAAATTTTGACATAAGCACACAACAACAATAAACAAATTACACAAATTAAAACCATTTTCCATTTGGATGCTAAGCCAACAAGCACAGAATTAAAAATTGAATATAGTTTAGTTCCTGACAACAAGATCCGCTGCTTCTAAATGAAACCTAGGAGTCATCTTCTCCAACCTCTCGTAGGATTAATTTGTTCAAAGAAATTAAGTCTCATTTATTTAGCGGACAGGTATAACAGAATGCCAAAAGTCTGTTGGATCAAGGTCAAACGTGTAAAACTGTACAATAATAAATAAGACATACAATTTACAATTGGATGTGTTATCTATGATTATGAACACCAATATGCTGCAATGAACTATGAAAACAAAGTGTTATGTTGTATGATAGACAAGAAAATTCAGGCATGGCAAACCCTAAAAATCTTTAAGTGTGGAAACACAGCAACAAAGAAGGATACATTTTTCTGTAAGTTGCATTATTTGTATTATAAGCACAAATGCATGCAAGTAAGCCGGGGTCATTGCTTGATGCAGTGGTAAAATCTCAGGCTGAAAAGTGTGAGAATGCCAGTTGGAGTCTAAAAGTGGATTATTTGTGCCAGAAAAAAGAAAAAATAAACCCAAAGGTTAGCCTCATACCCAGTGCTCACCTCCCAAGACCCTGATAGTGAGGACCAACAATGGGACCTTTCATCATGAATTAAGAATCTAGGATATTTGCTAATGAAGAATCAATATGATGGGTTGCATAATAAATGTTATTAAAATCTTACAGTTTACAATATGATTCGCGATTTGAATCATGAACCCCAAGGGTTTCAATTCAAATCTTRTGTCTAAATCTTTTTCTTGTGAGTTTTGTTTGAATCCTATGATTTGGTTCACAAATCTTATGATTTATGCGATTCCTGTGATTCATAAATCTTAAGAAGAGAAGACAGAAGTGCAATATTATCATAAAATCTGTAACAATGTTCGCCGGACCACAACATGCTTCCAGGTACAAGCATCAGGTCCTGGACTGAAACTTTTCTTCAGAGGCCAAGATGGGAATCTAACGGGGGAAGGAATAAGTTTAGACATTGCAGAAGGGAAGCAGATCTTCAACAGAACAAGGGAAACCAACCTGTCTGGTTGTCTGAAGAAAATGTATGCCAACCAGAAACATTTTTTTCTTGGAGGTAGAAGCCAGTGGAGTAGAGAAGCACAAAGCTTTTCTTCAGTCTTGCTTGGTTGGATGTTTCAATACAAGGGGTCTGAGAGAGGAGGAAGTACAACAATGGGCCTTCAAAACTTGGAGTTGAGAAGACTGGACGATGAACTTTCGCTCTTCCTCTGGTAGGTTTCTGCCTACCTCAGGAGCTTCTTCGAGGGAGCTCAGTCCTACAGAAAGAAAGAGAAGAGAGGAATGGATTGATGCTCAAAAAGGTAATCCTCTTAACTGCAATTCTATTATTTATAGCCCATTACATCACATGGGGGACTGATTCAGTTGTAACTAACTAAGCTGACGTGGCCCTCTCACATAGGTATTCGGATAAGGCTGTATGGATATCACGCTGCTGGGCACAGCAGTGGTAGTGGGCCGAGCTGTGTTCCTATCAACTCCCCCTCCTTGATATCAATCTTGTCCTCAAGATTGACATGGGGAAATTCATGCTTCAATCGAGAATATTCCTCCCAAGTGGCTTCCTCTTCAGGAAGGCTTCTCCATACAACCAGGGCCTCTTCGATGTAGTATCTCCCTTTGCGAACCCAGCGGAAGTCTATCAGCTTGCGGGGCTCCATGATCATGACTCCCTCATCAGTGAAGGCTGGGAGGGTTGACTGAGATTTGTCCCCTTGATCCACTTGTTTCTTGAGTAGTGATACATGAAAGACGGTGGAGTTTGGAGGATGGTGGGAGCTCTAGCTTGTAGGCGACTGACCCGTTTCTGTCCAAGATTTTGAAGGGTCCATACAACTTGGGAGCTAGTTTCTGCCATGCTCGCTTGGCTACTGAAGTCTGCCGGTAGGGCTGGAGCTTCAAGTAGACCATGTCTCCAGGCTGAAATTCCAAGGGACGATGCTTGCGGTCATATGTAGCTTTCATTATCTGCTGAGCTCGCTGTAAATTGCTCTTAAGCTCCTGCAAGATTAAGTCCCGGCTGGTCAGATATTTGTCTACTGCAGCTACAGTAGTAGACCCCGTCTCATATGGTAGAATGGCAGGGAGGTCTCTACCATACAAAGCCTTGAAAGGTGTCATACCGGTAGTCACATGGAAGGTGGAGTTATACCAGAGTTCTGCCCAAGATAACCACTTCAACCACTGTTTTGGCCTTTGTCCAGCGAAGCACCTCAAATAGGTCTCGATGCACCTGTTGACTACCTCTGCCTGTCCATCAGACTGGGGGTGATAGCTTGTGGAATGAGCTAGGTGTGTCCCTTGGATTTTAAAATACTCCTGCCAAAATCTTCCCATAAATAGAGGATCCCGGTCGGAGATGATGGAAGCTGGTGTTCCATGTAACTTTGTAATGTCCCTCACAAACATATCTGCTACTTGTGCTGCTGTGAAAGGGTGTGACAAGGCTGAGAAGTGAGCATACTTGCTAAGCCTATCGACTACCACCATGATCACTGTCTTGCCTTGAGAGGGTGGCAAACCAGTGATGAAATCCATGGTGTCATCCCAAACCTGATTTGGTATCTGAAGGGGCTGAAGGAGCCCAGCTATCTGTTGAGTATTGTATTTCTGCTGTTGACAGGTTGGGCAGCCAGCCACAAAGGCCTGTACATGCTTCCTAATCCCCTTCCAATAGTAGTGTGCTGCAATATGCTGATAAGTTCTCAGTGCCCCGAAGTGACCTCCACCTACGAAGGAACCTATGAAAGAGTGGAATAACCGTAGAAGCTCCGCTATGTGTGAGGATGATGAAGGTAAAACCAGTCTCCCCTTATAAAACAAGAGAGTGTCCTTCACAGTATAGCCCGGAGTCTTGGTTGGGTCCTCGGCCCATCTCCTTTTCATAGCGGCCAGCTCCTCATTACTCAGTATCTCATGTTTGAGTTGTTCCAACAGAGGGTATATGGGTCTGGATTCTTCCATCAACTGTAGTTCACCTTGTCTTGATAGGGCATCCGCTACCCAATTAGAAGCCCCAGTTTTGTATTCTATTAAATAGTCGAACCCCAACAATTTCGACACCCATTTTTGCTGCTCTTCCGTAAGGAGATGCTGTTCCAACAGATATTTGAGGCTCCGTTGATCAGTTCTGATGATGAAGCGTCACCCCAGGAGGTAGTGGCGCCATTTAAGGACTGATAGAACTACAGCCATTAACTCCTTAACATAGGGGGATTTGGCCTTCGCTCGAGGGGAGAGAACCTTGCTGAAATAAGCTAAGGGTTTACCCCCTTGCATCAAAACAGCTCTAATGCCGGCACCCGATGCGTCACATTCTGCCACGAAGGGTTGCTCAAAATCTGGTAGGATCAATGTCGGTGGAGTGGAGACTGCTGTCTTCAAGAGGCTGAAAGCTTGTTGGGCCTCCTCTATCCAGTAGAAGGTGTTCTTCCGGAGGAGTTGAGTTAGCAGAGCAGCTATCAGCCCATAATCCCTGATAAAATGTCTGTAATACCCGGCTAGGCCTAGGAAGGCCCGCAGTTGTCTTACTGAAGTGTGCCTGGCCCATTGCCTTATGCTGGCCACCTTCTCAGGACCGGGCTTCACCTCCCCTCCCTCCACCACATGACCAAGATAATGCACTCGTCCCTGCCCAAAAACACATTTGGAGGGCTTGGCCGAGAGCAATTCCGCCTTAGCACATCAAATGTTAGCTTCGAGTGTAAAAGATGTTGCTCCAAATCAGAGCTATAGATAAGAATGTCATAAAAAAATACTAAAATGAACTTACGAAGGTAGGGCCTGAATATGTCATTCACAAGTGATTGGAAAGTTGATGGTGCATTGGACAGACTAAACGGCATGACTAAGAACTCGTAGTGGCCATCATGAGTCCTGAAAGCTGTCTTATGCACATCGTCACTGTGAACCCAGACCTGAGATCCAGCTTCGAGAATACCTGAGCCCTTTGCAGCTCGTTTAGCAACTCATCAATCAAGGGAATTGGAAACCAGTCCTTAACAGTGATGGAGTTCAGTGCCCAGCAATCCACACAAAACCGCCAGGAACCGTCCTTCACTAGTAGAATTGGGGAGTAGGGACTGTTGCTAGGTTGTATGAACCCCTTTTGCAGGAGGTCTTGGACCAAGTTCTCGATTTCCTAGCCCTGGTAGTATGGGTACCGGTAAGGCCGTAAATTGGCTGGTTCCGCCCCTGGTACAATGGGAATCCGATGGTCATGAACTCTCTCGGGAGGGAGCCCTTGTGGTTCATGAAAGACATCGGGGTACTTGGCCAAAACTGCTTGCAGCCGTGGATCGGGACTGCCCATTTTACCTTCATTGTTTGTGGGCTTCAGATGTGGGCCAGGTGTGCAGGCCCCTATGAACATCAAGGTGGGTCAGCTTTGGTCCCAACTGGTTTTGATTATAGAGCTGAGGGTAGCTGGTTGTGGAACCAGCAGCCTAGAGCCGCTTAGAGTTATGGTGCGATTCCCCCTTTGAAATTCCATGGTTAGTTTGGACCAGTCACAAACCACCCGCCCTAATTGTTGCAACCACTGTACCTTTAGTACAATGTCAGCCCCACTGAAGGCCAAGGTGTACAGATCAGCGCGAAAGATTTCCCCCTTCGATGGCTAGCTCCATGTCTTTACAGACCCCTTCACATGGTATTTGACTACCATTGGCCACTTGGACATTGAATTTAGAGGTAGGTCTAATGGTCACCCCCATCTGAATGGCCAAATCATCTGAAATGAAATTCATGCTACTCCCACTGTCCA